CCGCATTTTTTGCATGCATCGCATGCAAGGCAGGACCGGCCCTGTGTATTTACATACCTACGATTCGAATTTTTGCATGATTTATGCTGCAGTTTAGCATATGTATGTAATATATTCTAAGAAATTATGTATGTAAATATGTATGTTTACATACATAAGGAAGTATTAATTTTTTAATAAACATTGATTTTCGTTGATACCTATGTAAGTATTTGTTATTTTAATAAATACACAACTTTATTCTTCATACATTCGATTATCCAGATTTTCGATTATCTGAATGCCTATCGACAACAATTAGTCCGGTTAATCGAGGTTCTACTTTATATATGTATATATATATATATATATATATATATATATGTATATATATATATATATATATATATATGTATATATATATATATATATATATACATATATTGTTGTAGAGCTTCGAACAAAGAATCCGAAAAGTAACAAAAGAAACAATAAAGTTTTCTTTTTTAAAAAAACATTTTTTTATTTACTGTCAACGTTTCGGAACTAGGTACGTTTCATCTTCAGGACATCTGTCAAGAAACATGATCTTGATAAGATTTAAGCAGACAATATGTTTAAGAAGAGCAGAAGATGATATATATGATTATATATAGAATGAATAAAATTGTGGATTTTTTTTTATTCATTTTATTCAAAAAATCCATCATCTTCTGCATTAATATTAAAATGTTTGTTAAATTTACAATTTTCAAGAGCTAGAAATTCTTCTAGAAGTTCTTTATTAACAGTATTGGAAAGTTTGTTGACAATGTTATCACGTTGTGATTTCATATATTTTATGCAGATAAAATTATTTTTTATTTCAAGATTCAAAACGGACATTTTTACCTTACCGTAGGGTAAGTTATTGTAATCGTCCATAAATCGAAATTGAAAATTTTTGCATTTCTCGACGTTTTGAAGGTTTCTGAACATTTTGACATACCTCAGAAAAAATTGATGTATGTGTGTGTGTGTTTTGTGTGTCTGCATTTTTTCGTTCACGTTTTCGGGCGCACGGTTCAACCGATTTGAATGGTTCAAAAAACATTCGATTCCTATTGATAGGGAGATATGCTGATTAGTTTTTGGCAAAGGCAGGTCCAGCAGTTACGGAGATAAAAAGCTAATTGTGCAGAAAATAGAAAACGAGTTTTCGAGAGAACGGAGCATCCGATTTGAATGATCTAAAAATTTTGGATTGGGATTGTAATTCTGACATAAGTTCTATATATATATATATATATATATATATATATATATATATATATATATATATATATACTGGCATAAGTTCTATATATATATATATATATATATATATATATATATATACATATATTGTTGTAGAGCTTCGAACAAAGAATCCGAAAAGTAACAAAAGAAACAAAAGAGTTTTCTTTTTTAAAAAACCATTTCTTTATTTACTGTCAACGTTTCGGAACTAGGTACGTTCCATCTTCAGGACATCTGTCAAGAAACATGATCTTGATAAAATTTAAGCAGACAATATTTTTAAGAAGAGCAGAAGATGATAGATTTTTTATATAAAAAATGAATAAAATTGTGGAATTTTTTTTTTATTCATTTTATTCAAAAAATCCATCATCTTCTGCATTAATATTAAAATGTTTGTTAAATTTACAGTTTTCAAGAGCTAGAAATTGATTTAAAAGGTCTTTATTAACAGTATTGGAAAGTGTGTTGACAATGTTATCACGTTGTGATTTCAGATATTTTATGCAGATAAAATTATTTTTTATTTCAAGATTCAAAACGGACATTTTTACCTTACCGTAGGGTAAGTTATTGTAATCGTCCATAAATCGAAATTGAAAATTTTTGCATTTCTCGACGTTTTAAAGGTTTCTTAACATTTTGACATACCTCAGAAAAAATTGATGTGTGTGTGTGTTTTGTGTGTCTGCATTTTTTCGTTCACGTTTTCGGGCGCACGGATCAACCGATTTGAATGGTTCTAATATACAGTTCTAATATACTTTAAACTAATATTTTTGACTTTGCAATTCAGTTTATATAATTCTTATAAATATTAGACGATGTTACAGTATTTATTTATAATAATCTATTTGAAAACATTTAATATTTCTCGAACATTTCGTTACGGTACGGGAAGTTCCAGCAATTTGCCTTATGGCACAATGCCATACACCTCATTAGTTAGGTAATTAATTTGTCGTTCAATTTTATGAATGTTGAAAGTGTTGTATTAAAATTATTTGTTGAAATAAAATTGGGTGTAATCCATTCTTTTGTACATCGAATTAAAAATATTTTGTTGTTAATAACGTTAGATTATTTGATGTTTAGTTTTGAATAATTTTTATTAAACATATTTGTTTGTAATCTACGGTTCTTGATAAGTTTTGAAAAATAGTTTTGTTCCATAATGTTCTCGGAATATATTTGATTGTAGAGTCTTGGATTTGTAAATATTTTGTAGAGCTTCGAACAAATAATCCAAAAAGTAATCAAAGAATCTGTCAAGAAACATGTTCTAGATAAGATTTAAGCAAACAATGTGTTTAAGCAATCTTAAACAGTTTAAGAAAAGCAGAAGATGAAAGATTTTGTATATATAAAATGAATAAAATCGTGGAAATTTTTTTTTATTTATTTTATATATAAAAAATCCTAAGATTTCCTGAAGATGGAACGTGCCTAGTTCCAAAACATCAACAGTAAATAAATAAAGAAATGCTTTTTTAAAAAACTTCTTTGTTTTTTATTACTCTTTGGATTCTTTGTTCGAAGCTCTACAAAATGTTTACAAATCCAAGACTCTACCATCTAACATATATATTTACAAATAAGTAGTTAGTGATACTTGTAAATTATTAATTCAATGATAATATAATTTCTAAATAATCTGTCTACTTGTTTATCTGTTTAGTTTTATAATTGGTTACCTGTCTATCCGTCTTCCTATCTCTCTGTTCACTCGGTTGCCTGCGCCTACTTATCTGCCTACCAGTCTATCTGTCTAAGTGTATACCTATCTTCCTATCTACATGTTTACCTATTTACCTGTCAACCTGTCTACATCTATACCAGACTTCGTGCCCAAATGTCTACTTGTATAACAGTCTATCTGTCTACCTGTCTATATGTTCTACCTGTCTGCCCGTCTACGTGTTTCCCAATAATTTGTTTTTGATTTCATCTTTGTTTTGTATCTCAAGAACCGCTGAGACTGCCTTCAAAAAAGGTTTATTATTATTCATTCCGTCAATACAAGTAATATGTTTGTCAATAATTGTTATCGAATACTTCGTTCACTTCAAAACATAATTGACCGTTTCGATAAGTTTTGCTTCAAATCTCCGAGACCTGAATCCTGAAGACCTGCCGAAACCTGATCTGCGAATATAAGTCAATACAAATCGAATTTATTGTGCATACAAAACACACCCATATCTATTATCTTAAGATTTGAACATATGCTTTAATATGAATAAATGAAAATATTTTGTTCATTAGGGCTTGAAACTTCCCGTAGGGTAAGTTATTGTAATCGTTCAAAAATCGAAATTGAAAATTTTTACATTTCTTCACGTTTTGAAGGTTTCTGAACATTTTGGTATACCTCTTACTTCTGTACAAAACTATCATTGTGCCCATATGGACTTATGAAATTGAACTATGGGGTTGGTCTTGTAAATCAAACAACAAACATCATCCAAAGGTGTCAGAACAAAATTCTGCGTTTCCTTGGTATATATTTTGAACTTTTGCCTACATAAGGATTTGAAAATCTCTACAGTCAACGAAATGATCAAAATTAGAAGTTCATCTTTCAATAATAAATTAATTCACCATACAAATCCTACTATTCGAGCGATTCACAGACCGTTAAGAAGATTAAGCAAGAAATGGACTTCCGATCTACCAAACACCTAGCCCAATGTCTGCACGCGCCCTGGCGTAGTACGCGGCATACATCATCACGTCATAGTTCATTTATGTTATTATTTTTGTATTACTGTTTTTATTTTATTTTTAACTTTTTTAATTTATATTCAATTTATTGTATTTTTCTTTTTTTGCACATATCAATTTTGTAAATAAGACATTATAGTCTTGATTAACAAAAATAAATTATAACAGGAAAAAAATTTGGTATATCTCAGAAAAAATGGATGTGTGTGTGTGTATGTATGTATGGATACAATTTTTTGTTTACGTTTTCGGGCGCACGGATCAACCGATTTGAAACATTCGAAAAACATTTGATTTCTATTGATAGGAAGATGTGCTGATTAGTTTTTGGCAAAGGCTGGCCCAGTCCTTTCGAAGATATGGTGCAAAGAGTGCAGAAAATAGAAATCGAATTTTTGAGAGAACGGAGCATCCGATTTGAATGACCCAAAAAGCATTCAATTCGTAATGACGGGGAGAAGTGGTGATTAGTTTTTGGCAAAAGCAGATCCAGCCGTTCTGGAGATACCGAGCTAATTGTGCAAAAAATGGCAGTTTTCAAGAGAAATAAGCATCTTGAATTTGAATGATTCAAACAACTTTCTGCTTGTGTTGTCGAAACTATTGGAAAAAAAAATTTTTTTTTGAAGCATAGTATTTTTGAAAACAAAGCATAATTATTAGTTATTTTTCAGGAAAAATGAGATAAATTAATATACATAAATAACATTTTCAATAATTGCATAATATGTTGGCTTGTCAAAAGCTTACAAAACTTTAAAACCGACATCAAATTTATAGAAGAAACCAAAAATTACAAAAAGTCTTAGTTCTTGAATTGGCACAAATTTTAAATATTAGAAAAATAAAAAAATCTAAAAAAAAAACAGGCCATTAAATGTAGTAATTGTATTTACTGTTAATCAAGTATATTATGCAATTAACATAAACTTAGTTTACAAAATGCAAAATTCCACAAATTTGTCAAAAGACATAAATTAATTTGAAGTTTATTCTAACATATATTTTTTATATTATAGATATTTGTTATGCCGTGGTTCCGCAAAAGGTAAAAAAACAGGAACGGAATTGGTCCAGCGAGCGACCACTATGTCACTCACAGCATCGAGAAGGAATCAGTCGACTTCCCTTTATAGGTTTCCTATAACTATGATAAGAAGGTAAATTGCTTTAGTACTGTTACGTATACGTATTATTAATATAAGAAGTAAAAGAAAACACAGAAAAATTGCATATATGGACAAAACGAGAGCGGCTATATTCAATAATTGGTTAGTTTTAGTAAGGTTTCCGAAAATGTACAACTTGAAAGAAAGCTATATTTACAATTTTGACAGATGTTGATCATCATTTAAACGTATATCGCATCTTCAAACGTTAAAAAAAAATCTCGATTATTTTAATAATACTTGGAATGGCAATAGAGTACGTAGTCTTAATAAACATACTAAAATATTACACTCCTACTTACACAGTGTAATTATAAAAATTAATAAAAGTTTGGATGAATCGGCCGCGCTTTTAGAAATAAATCCGTGTATTTCTTTGACACGTGTTTGATGTTCAATAATGTGTTATAAATCTATTCGGAATACTTATAAATCACTCACAAATTATTATATTGATTTATTATTGATTAAATCGATTATTTACACATGTCGGAATGTTTATGTAACTGGCCTTAAGGCAAAATGCCACTTTCAATTGGTTATTTATAGATATGAAATCCAAAATTTTATTAATGAAATGATATGTATGAAATCTGTTAGAAACCTATTGGTAATTGGTAATAGCTAAAAAAAAACTATTAGAACCCCTATTGGTAATTAAAATAATTATAATGCAAACACGCATTAGCACTACAAGCGCGGACTAATATTCGAAACTTATTGATTCTAATTTAAATGACTAATGGTGGATTATCATATATTTAAATGATTTGTCGAAAATTATTAAAATGTTTGAAAAAATTGTTCAAAATTTAAAAATGTACAATAGTTTCTCTATATTGATGTTTACGGCAACGCTAATCCATAATCCTATAAATCATTCATGAATTAATATACTGATTGCTTATTAATTAAGTAGATTAACTTACCTAGTTCCAAATTTCTAGTTCTCTAATAATTCAGAATTACTTGAAACGTCGAGATATCATAAAATAAGCAAATTAGATTTTCTGGCAAAAACAACTTCGGAAGTTAATAATTAATTTTGAAACGGCTTAGAAATACTGCTTGCAAATATGGTGCCGGGTCTATCTTAAGTCATTTTTTCACACACATAACGCATATCTGTTACGACGCAGATTATCCTATTAATAATAGTATCATATCATAAAAGTTGGTCTGTATTTTAAGAAATAACCTGTTTATACATTTCATTATTTGACCTCCGTCACTTTTTAACTTCCCGTAGGGCAAGTTATAGTAATCGCAAAAAAATCGAAAATGAAAATTTTTATATATCTTTACGTTTCAAAGGTTTCTGAATATTTTGGCATACCTTAGAAAAAATGGATGTATGTGTGTCTGTATGTGTGTGTGTGTGTGCGTGTGTGTGTATGTATGTATGTATGTATGTACGTGTGTGTATGTATGTGCGGATACAAATTTTCGTCGACGATTTCGGGAACACGAATCAACAGATTTCAATAATTCAAAAAAAATTCGATTTGTATTGATAAGGAGACGTGCTGATTAGTTTTTGGCGAAGGCAGGTTTAGCCGTTCCGAAGATACGGGGCAAAAAGTGCCAAAAACGGTACCTCCGTTTTTAAGAGAACGGAGCGTCCGATTTGAATAATTCAAAAAACATTTTATTTGTATTGACAAGATGAAGAATCGATACAATTTTCATGAAGGTAGGTCCAGCGGTTTCGCAGATATAGAGGAAAAAGTAAAAAAATGAGCCATTTGGCGGTCAAAAATGATCATTAGACATATGCACATCAAATTATCAGATATTTTATAGAGATTTTAACAATAAGTATAAATTTTGTTAACATTCCTATGGGTTCCGTACCAATGCTTATGCGTTAGACAGCGACGCGGCGCTTACGCGCTTTATATTTTGTCCTTATGCAGTTAAAGCAGTACGATTGCTTTGAAAAAAAAGTTCAGATCTTCCACAATATGTCAAAATAAAGAAAAAAAAAATTTTTTCAAAAAAAACTAATTTTTTGTCCAATTTATAGTTTCTCAAAAATCTTATTTTTTCAAAGTAAATTTTTTTCAAAAATGTTAATCGTTTAGTTCGTCAACTCTTATGTATTTTTTACGAGCAAAAACGCTCAGAAGTTCTTCATTATTTCGTATACGTATATCATATTTTTCAGTACGTGTTTCCATAGTTTGTATTAAAGTGAAATTTATTATATTTCACATCTTTTTTAGGGGACCATTTTCGCCACAGGAATCATCTGTTACTATTGTCGGCAACTGCCACCATGCGAATGGAGACCAATGTGCAACGAAAATTTGAAGATATGGAGGATGCGAAACTGATCTCAAAAAGTTTTATTTTAAAATAAAAGCATTAAAGTAGTGAAAATTTGCAAAACTTTTTGTGAGTTAATTGATTTTGAAAAGAACTTTATGTATGACGGATATATATATATATATATATATATATATAATGTTTATATATATATATATATATATATATATATTAAATTTTTTATATAATTTTGATGTTGAAATATGTGATATTCAGTTTTCAGGGCAATACATCAATTAAAAAATTTGTATGACTTTAAAACATTTTTATTTCTTCCATACGTTTCGAAAGTTTTGTGTCATCTTCAGTGGACTCTATTTTGAAGGCACAGATAAAAATTATTAATTAAAACTAATATATAAGAAGTGATATGGTATGAACTTACATATAATTGTAATAATCCTAATTATTTCCTAATTATAATTGTTCACAATGCACAATGAAACCAATTCTTGTCACTTTAAATTTGACAATATATAAATTTTTGAATGAGTTATTTTATGAATTTGTAAAATACATCCCAAATACAGAATAGCGGGATTTAGTTTATTTAGAAAATCGAGGCGATTCGCGGATTGATTATATTTTTAAATTTTCAATTATTTTCAACGTATTGGCCATGGTTGGCTCCTTGGGATAGTTGGCTCCAATATATGTGCAATATTAACATTTGGGTTTTGAAACATTTTACTTATTTATTATGCGATTTGTTCTATTGAACAAATCATGCCAAGAGAACTAAAAAAAGCTAGCTTTTCATTTTCATCATAACACTCGTATTTCATGTTGGATTTTTCAAATTTTAATTTATTTTAATTTTTCATTATTTACAATATCCAAAATTGCGTGGTAAAATTCTCCTTATTGATATCGTAAGAGCCGATTTGTATTCATTCTTGTTTTCTCGTCATATTCAGATTATCAGATTGTTTCAATTGTGATTGTGATCAATTTTTTACGTATTTTAAACTCGTCGAAAAATCAGTAAAAAATGCGAAGGAATTACACATTTCTTGAACTATATTGAAAAAAAAACTAATTATATTTGGTATGTATTATTTCTGCATAGTTAATAATTATTAAATTTAGAGTATGGACACCACTAGGTATAAAAAAAGCCTTAAGATTTTCGTTTCAAAGTAAATTTTGCTTTAATTTTTCATATTTGTTCCATTTCGATAACCCTAACCACGCATGCCTTCAACATTCAAAGTTCATCAGATGAGAAACATTAGCAACAAAAACAAAAGTTACAATTCAATTTTCCAATATAAACAAGCCATTTTCTAAGCACTGACTCCCCATTTTTCAATTTCGCGATTATAATTTGTTTATAAAAGTTTCGTTTTAACTAAATCAGCTCGCAACTTTTCGTCGATAATGACCAATAATTAATGTAATCTTTCGCAGGTTTGCGCTTACGGGATTGAACACTAGATAATTTCTTTTTCGATTCAAACAGAAAAAATTGAATAAGTTAGTTTGTTAGATTGTTTATTATAATTTATTAAGTATTTTATTAGATAAATAATAAAAAATATAAATAATATGTTATAAATTTAATTTCCAAAACTCGTTTTGGCGCCCCCTAAGCCGTGCGCCCGCATTTTTTGCATGCATCGCATGCAAGGCAGGACCGGCCCTGCATATATATATATATATATATATATATATATATATATATATATATATATATATATATATATATATATATATGGTATATATATATATATATATATATGTATATATACGTTTCTGCTATTGTTCCAGCTTTCGTTCGGTAGAAACTAAACCGAAAGGTTTTTTATTCAGTTATATTTGATTATTAAACTCTGTTAATGTATATATTTACACACACAGAAATATATATATATATATATATATATATATATACATATATATAGACACTTCAAAAGATATATATATTTTTTTATTTTATTTCAAATTTTAGCTGTGCAATCTCTCTCTATTATCTTGTATCAATTAGCACTCGTATAATATTAATAAGCATAACCTTTTATTCAGAAAGTTTACGTATGAATTCAACAAAACTTTGGCGTGTGCTTTGTATTTCCCATTAAATTAGTTACATATTTGATCCAACTATCGCATAGTTTTTATACCAAATGCAGAACAGTAGTTCATATTACATTTTCACGCTACTTTGTTTGATCGGACCTCAAGATATTAGTTTTGATACAAATATCACAGAATCAATTTCTATTCTAACTTTAATTTAAAATATGCTATATTTATTGTTTTCAAGTAATTTGTATGGTGAAGTTTTAAAAATATATATCAAATTAAATTTTTATATTAAAACAAAATATTTTATGAATAGAACGTACATTCTTTATTGCGCAGCTAAAATTGAACAAAATTAGGTTATATGTTGATTAGGTTTTTAACTCTGTTAAATTAAATTACGTATTATTTTTTATAATTCATATACCTCTCAATGTAAGTGTTCTATAAATAATAAATATTCGTAGAAAAAATGAATTGTATGAATGAAATATTTATAATGTTATAACATTGTTTTGACTCTAATGTACGCAAATGCATTTGTATAGTTATTGAAAACTAAATAAAATAAATATCATGAATGCTTTTGTTTACAAATTTGTAATAAGTAGACAACTAGTGGTGCATGGCATCGTGCCTTAA